TAATTTTCGATTAATTTACATTCTATCTTTTTCTAATTCTTAGTATTGAAGATTAAAAGTAAATTAAACCGAGATTAAAGTTATCTATATAAGAATATTAAGAGAAAGATAAAGAGTAAATTGATTCGAGATTAAAGTTAATCTTACATTGACCGGGCCTTGTGCCCGTTTCTATGATTGTAGTTTAAATTTTAATTTTGATTCAACTAACTTTCTTTAGTTCTAAGAATTGAAAAAGAGATAAAGAGTAAGTTGTACCAAGATTAATCTTATATTGGTGGGTTAATTAGGAAAAGACAAGTTCAGTGTAGATTAATTTAAATTTCGGTTCAATTTAATCTTAATCTTTTTTTAATTAGAACTAGAAAAAGATGAAAGGTTAATTGAACCAAGATTAGAATTACATTGACAGGCATTGATTGAATCGAGATTGAAGTTCAAACTGTCATTGATGAAGACTATGATGTAAGACTACAAAGAGTTTTATTGCGCATAATGATCGAATATAATTTTGAGACAAATTTTTTATTGATAATAAATTCTGATAGCGGCTCTATATTGACTTCAAACATTTTTGACTGTTTTTCTGATTAGTTATCGACTGTGCATCTTTGAAGCAAAACACGTTGTATTCTTATCTCATGGTGAGAAGAGTACGAGTTTAAATCATTTCGATTGAACGCTTCTCGTGCTTTTCAATCTGTTTGCTTTGATTATCGAGCCACGATAAATACAGGTCGAAGGATCGTCTCGTGACATTACGTAAAAGAACGTAACATCGGACTGCTGAAACAAGAAAAGGGCAACGGCGATTGTCGTCCGGTAACGTTAGCGGTTTCTGACTTTTATTATAGCAATTAAATGACCTTTATTGGCATTCCATCCAACACTGGAATTTATACGATCGGATTCTATCGCAGCTTTATTTATTCTTCAGATTAAAAGCGCAATAAAATAAACAACTGTGGTAAAGCATCATCGGGACGTAACGGAGAGATTCAAGCTATACGTTAAACAGACGAGAAATAATAAACGCTGAACGTCGCTTGTGCGATCATGCGAAGTTTAATGTATCTTTAAACTTTTCAGGTATCATTTTATACCGATTACCCTTCAACAAGTAATATTTATATTTATAAGTGAACATACAAGTATGAGAATCAATATTGAGGACACGTGATAAAATATCTGGTGACTGTTGTGTCGTTTATGAAAAGCCTGTGATAATGCAATAATGTATATAGTATTGACAGTTTTCATTGGTTATGTTTAGCAGAGGAAGCAGCAGCTTTGCAATTGTAAAATTCTTCAATTCTTGATTAGTTTATATATTTAAGGTTGGTTTTTTTATCATTACTTGATTAATAATTTGTGGTTTATTTAACTTCACTTGACGATAATGTAAAAATTGTTTTTCTCTGGTGATTATTAATTGCGTTAACGTTGAGAGTTATTCACTATAGGAACATTAGTGATTAATCATAACTAGAAAAGTAAAGTGTTACATTATCATCAGGTAAAAGTTAATCACAAATTAGTCAGAAACAGAATGAAAATCCGTAAGGAACTAAAGGCAAGAATCAACCGTTGAAGGATTTTACAATAGTTGCAAATCTGCTTTCTTTGCTGAATGCAACCATTGTTTTCTGTAAACGACCCAACGGTCGGCCGACATTTTGTCTATCGTGTGCTCTCGCCCTAAGAAACGTTCTTGAAATATTTTTAGAAATGTTCTTTTACTTTCGGAGTTAATAGTCGCTTTGAGATTAGTAGAGCTCGAGATAAAATCACAGGATCTCTTACATATGTAATTGATTCTTAATACAGTTTTTTTTCATTTGCTATTTTTTTTTGTAATTATGTATAATTACAAATTGTTAAAGAATTAGTCATACTCGCAGAACCATAATGTGAGATTAAATTTAATGCGTTATCAAAGCAATTTTTTAAAATCTTTTTTTGTGATTTCCCAACAAGTATAGTAGTCGATTAGTTTTCTTTCGAAATAGCAGATATATAATAAAATAAATTTAATATTCTATTAATTTTTTTCTATTAATTTTTTTACCTTGCATTCTTATTCAAATACAGCGAAAGTAAAATTTGAATATGAATGTAAATAAAAAGCCTATCTTTAGCATACGATGCATTTTTTTGCTGTATTTACTAAATTACCAGAAATTCTACGTTTTACGTGGTACAATTCTAGTAATTTGCTAAAACGCAAGCAATCTAGCAAGAAAAAATATGTGCTGTAGAAGAACTAACGATTCGGAAATTGAAGTTCTAGTATGATGTAACAAATTCGAGTGATCGTGAATTGATCGAACGTGTGCTTCAAATTCTAAATTCTAAATTCGCGACGCTTTTAATTGAAGCGGCGTCTGCAGATTTTAAAGCGTAAAACTTGAATTTTAATAAATTAAAAATAAAACCTGAACTATATAATTGTCCAATCACAGTCAAATACGAGGAAAATAAAATTGATAATGATTGGACAATTTTTAAGGCTCAGGGTTTGAGGTTTTGCGCCTTAAAATCTCATTGTATACACCACTTGAGGTGAAATTGACGCTAGAATTTATGCCACGATAAAATGCGAGTTGAAAATCGATAAGTACGTGTCGACGTTGCGGTTAGGCTGGTTTTTTTTTTCCGATGACTTTTGGAACGCGTTCTATTTCGATAGGTGGGGGGTTCGACAGGAAAGATTCGTTTTTTTCCGAGGATTCGTGAAAAGCTGGATTATATAGAGATAGGAGTCGTCGGACGCCAGTGAAAAATGAAGTCGCGACCATCTTGACGCCGAACGTAATTCGGCCTCGCTGGCGCTCAGCAGCGTCAGTGGTATTCGCAATCACGTCGCAGTAGCGAATTTCCGTGCGACGCGCATGCGCGCCGTTTTCCTGTTTTTCCTTCTCGCTCGCTCCAAGACGCGGGCCGCGGCTCGTAGCCTCGTAGCCTCGTCGCCTCGTCGCTGCCTCGTACGTCTGCGCCCTCGAACGGCTCAACGGCAGTTAACGGTGGCCGAGCCGAGAAGGCGTTGAGCTGCGCCATTGTTGAAAAGGGCAGCGCACGAGGCGGACGCCGGGCCTGGACTCTCCACGCTGCTTAACACTTTTCACCGACTCCATTGCTGTGATATTAGATTGTTTTATATCTCCCTTATTAGGTGAGTGAGTACGTATATAAATTCGCGCGCGATATAGGCGAGACGCGTCTGGTCGACGGGAAATCGGCGTCGAGAATGCGGGGACGACACGGGACGACACGACACGATATGACATGGCGCGGCGGGGCGGGTCCGTGAAATGGCGAGTGTTTTTGATGAAAGATTCGTCGCGATTTTATCTCTCGCGGTCCATTATCGTCCGTGGCGATGCTCGAAAACGGAGACGAGCGGATCTTGCCCGCGCGTAAGTGGCGTTAGCGTTTGCGATTTCATTTGCCATTGTCCAGACGCGACGCACGAGACCGCGAGGAATTCGGTCGCGGCATGAGAGTGCGCGCGAGCGCGAAGCGGATCGATCGGCCGTTGCTTTTCCGCCGCGAGCTTTCCACTCGCCGCCATTTTGTCCCGGGTCCGACCTCGCCGACCGCCATATTGGCGTTCCACGTCTCCGACTCTCGCGGTTTCCTCTCCTCTCTTCGCGGGGAGTGAGCGGCTCGCGTCGCCGCAAGATGGTTTCCTCTGCTCTCGTTCCTTCTGTCCCGCTTTTTTTTTTCTCTCGTGTCCCCGTATCTCAATGCGCGCTTGATACGTGACCTGGAAAAAAAAAATTGTCAACTTGTTATTGTTTCTTGTGTATGCACTCGAACTCGGCAACGCCTGATGTAACGCACGCTCTCTCTCTTTCTCTCTCTTGCGTGCGCGCGCGCGCGAGATAACAATATAAATAGATTACGCAATCGCGCGCAAGCGAGGAACAACTCGCATCTTTTTTGCTCTTTTTCACTCCTTTTTTTTTGCTCCCTGCGCAGCAGTCAGCACCTCGCGACTGCGTAGTGCACTCGCTCCCGTCTCTTCCTGCTGCGTGTGCGGTAACCTCCTCACCTCACCCTCCGTCGTTCCCCACCTACATCGCTCGCGAGCCGCGTGATCGATTTTCCGTATTTATTGCGCGCCGCTAATGTAAATCGCGCTGACGTAAATCGGGTTAGACCAGTCCTGGTTTCGCTCGTTGCCGCCTCGGCCGGCGACGCGACGTCAAAATTACATCGTGATAAAAATATGCGATTCGATCGCGAATTGGTTTGGTCACTTGTAGCGAGCAAGTTTTTCGTCATCGCCGATCATCGATAACGTCGTATCGGCTTCAGGTAATCACGCGTTTGACGTTTTTTTTTCCTGTCATCTTTTTTTCTGTGCTCTTCGTTCTCGATCGGATTGTGGGGGTAACCGTTACATTCTCTATCGATATCGTTTAAAAAACCGTCATACATTTAAAGGTCCCGTTCCGTATATACACTGCTAGTATTGAAAATCTGTTGTGCACATTTAGTGTGCTATAGATTTTCAGTATTAGGAAATGTATATGGTCCTGATAAAAGAAATAGTCGAATGACTACCTCCGAGAGGGGGGAGGGGGTCTAGTGGCAGCGGTGGTACCCGCAGCAGCCGCCCCTGAGTCCCAGGGGCCTCCGCGCGATCGTTGTGCAAGCGTTACGCGCAGCCCGGACGTCGCGAGTGCGCGTGCGCGGTGCTTGCGCGTCCTCCTGCATCATCCCCACCAGGCAGTCCATTACCGTTACCAGACACGCACAAAGGAAAAGGCTAGAAGAGCGATCCGACCGACGCATCGCTCATACGGCCATTTTGGAAGCTTCGCCGCTTCGTTACGGAGCTTTTGCCTCCGTCGTCCTCCCGCGAGGGCCGCGTGCGAAACAGGAGAGAGAGAGAGGGGGAGGGCGGCGGGGAGAGAGAGAGGCGCCGCGGGGGGGGGCGGGGGGAAAGAGAGAGAGAGAGGGAAGGAGGAGGGGGGGAGGGAGAGAGAGAGAGAGAGAGAGAGAGAGAGAGATAGATAGAGGGAGTGAGTGAGAGCGAGACGGGAGAGGACTGTCGGATCGGTACGAAAGTCGAGAGACGTACTTTACCGGGTACGTCGTTCGGCTCGATGTGCACGATAATAATCGGTCGCGGGAGGACGAGATAGCGTCGGGTCGCTCGGTCGATCGATAGTACGGTTAGGAAAAATAGCGCGAGAGAGGAAGAGAGAGAGGACTACTCCGTCGGCAGGTTCTGCATTCTTACGTTATCTGGTTCGATTCTGGTACGATACGTCATTTTTCACGCTTGTTTTCTCATCTGTGTAGAAACGAGGAAACGAAGCCAGAACTACCATGGAGGACGACCAGCAGTTCTGTCTCAGGTGGAACAACCACCAAAGTACGCTCATACAAAACTTCGACACACTCCTTGAAAGCGGGACGCTGGTCGACTGCACCCTGGCGGCGGAGGGGAAGACTCTCAAGGCCCACAAAGTAGTCCTCTCCGCGTGCAGTCCATACTTTGAGGTAAGCAAAATGTTCTGTTATTTATTATTATTTAATCCTACAGTCTTTTCCTATCTTCCTAGGGATATTTTGAAGCGATTCTCTTTTTCTCAAGATACTACTAGATCTTGTAGGTCTTTTCTTTCTCTCCTTAATATTTTCTTAAAATTGATATAATCGAGCAAGATTCTTTTCTCTTTTACATTATTGTAATAATAAATTTATAGATTATTATTGCCCGTATTTGAAAGTAGAAATATGATTGCGATAATTTAGCCACGTTGATACAATTTCATTAATGATTTTCAATTATTTATTAGTGAAAATGCGAATTACAATTGGAAGAATTTTGATTCAAAAGAATAATTATGAACATAACAAATTATATTAATAATTGTGCGCCGAGTGAAGCTTTCCCCCTTTTATTTCTTTGTTCATTTGGCTCAGTCGGGTTAGATCAATACGAAATATGTTGGGAGGGAGTGAGATAGATTGTTGAGAAGCAAGGGGGGAGTGGGAGGAGGGGGGATCTCAAGTTGAAACAAGATGGCCGTGCTTGTTGAACGTTGCCTGGGCAGAAGTGTAGGAGGTGAAGTGGGGGAGAGTGGGGAGCAAAAGCCTGAAGCCCCCTCCTAGGTCCTCTTGATCAATACAAGGAAAGCAAGATGGCTGATTTCCAGGGCACTTGCCCTGGGATTTTACCCTAATATGGGTGGGGATGCAAGAGCGGCTGTTGCAATAATTGAATGCTGCTCTATGAAAATTAATAATATGCTCGAATTGTGCCTATCTGTAGATGTTAGCTCGTCCCAGATGCAGCACTTTGCATTCTTGGCTATAATATAGGATATATGAGAGATCAATACTTTAACGCTACTAAATAAATACTTGTATTTATGCCATGTAATCTACGAATAATGTTTCAAACTTGTAGAAAGCAAATGTTAAATAAAACATCTACATTAAATATAAATCAGGAAAAGAAATTATTATATATTTATAACTCTACCATTGTACTCATTTATCTGAAAAAAAATTATGTATTTTTGTGTTACAGTGCCTCCTCAGCGAACACTATGACAAGCATCCAGTGTTCATACTCAAAGATGTTAAATTCAAAGAACTTAAGGCAATGATGGATTATATGTACAGAGGGGAAGTAAATATTTCCCAAGACCAACTGGCAGCACTCCTCAAAGCCGCCGAGTCTCTGCAAATTAAGGGCCTTTCGGAAAGTAAAACTGCTGGCAGTAGTAAGACGGAGTCCAGGCCACAGAAAACCGTCTCACAACCAACAGCACCGTCGTTAGACATTCCACACGCGTCTTCCGGTCTGACGATAGAAAAGAACAAAGTTCCTAGGCAGAGTTTGGCGCAAAGTTCCGTGGGGGATATACCAGAGGATACGGCTAGTCCTCAGGTGTCGAAAGGGTTGTCCTCGAGGTGAGTCTTTGAGGAAGAATAATTTCATTATGTTGTAATTTAGATGTGAATGTAATCTACTCGTTTCAAAAATATTGCTAATTTTTACGTTCTTGCTCCTACAGGGAAGGTTCACAAAGTCCAACGTCAAGAAAAAGAAAAAGGTTTCGAAGAAGAAGTTTAACCGAAGATAGTACGATAGAAAATCAGGACGCATCGAATTCCAGCGACATGCCTCAGCAAATGGGTGTACCGGCGCTTGGTATCGCGCCAGTGGCAGACGAAAAAGTACACGCAGACCCAACAGACTCTCTCGGCAGGTCAGCTTTAATGACGCAATTGACGAAACCTGCTGATGAGATGTTACAGGTAAAATTGTTCGCTGAACTCTTCCGTTCTCTTTTTTTTTTTTTGCGTGTGCCAACACTCTAATAGAAGCTGTCGTTAAAAACGCTGTTTCTTTCGCTTCGTTGGTAAAGAAAAATCGTTCTCTATTCTACTGCTTTGGTTTTACCTTTTCCTTACCGCTGCAGTGTGGAAACGGTTCGAGACAATTTTCTCTTTTTTTCGGATTATGTTTTGTTCCATGAAGATTCTTTTAAGGTTTCTAATGCGTTTTTAATATTTTATAGCTGCCACTCGAAAAACCCGAGCCAAATGATAATCTCATCGAGCCAAAGTCTGAATACCTAGATGACGCTGAGGAGGGTGTCGAAGACCTAACGCTGGATGAAGATATGAATGATCTTAATGACATAGAGCAGGACAACAATCGAGCTGGACCGTCCCATGACCCCGCCCAACACCCCGGTAAGTTTCAAATAATGTATTTGTTATTTGTAATTTGTTTTTTTTTTATCGTAGCGAAACGCAGGGTTTTTTTCTCGCTTAGAGATAATGTGAATTGTAATATATACATTTAAACTTGCGCATCGCTAAGTAGCGTTGCGCATGTAAAAATATGAAGAGTATACGTAGCAAGTAATTGCGTTTTGTATAAAATTATATGCTCTGAGAAAGAGTCAACGACATTAGCGAATCTTCGATTCAAAAAGTTTATTTGGATCGAAGCAGAGCTTGACGTCTTGTACGATTGGATAGTGATTCTTGAACGGAAATCTCGGTATTGCTGGATCGCGATAATCAGTTGTTTCTCTCTTGATCGTAATTAGGAAGGGCTTTTGTACGTTGAACGAATTAATAGTTTTGGTGTCGCGAAGTCGTTTCGTTGTTTTGTTTGTTATCTATTAAAACGGGACGTGTAATAAATTGGCCGACACTAGCTTGGGTTTCCTCGTTGCAGGTGGGGGGGCGGGAGCGCGGTCTCGGTCGAGAGGGAATTTCGGTATTGGTGACGATGGTGATCGTAATGGTGGCGGTGGTGCCCCATGGGCTTCCCATTTCCTCGAATGTAATAAAGTGCCAAACATGAGACGGCCGCGCCCGGACGCTGACGTAGCCGCGTTGCTTAAATCACTGGCGAACAAGCAGGGCAGAAAGTATAGCTTAGACTCGGTTAAAATGTCCCTGGAGGCAATATTGCAACAGGGGGTTAGCACCACTCAGGCGTCCGAGATGTACGGCATTAATCGCTCAACGTTGCAGTTCTATTTGAAAAAGTTGAACGTCGTCAGGAGGAGATGGAAACACCAACCTTCTAGTCCAATCTTCACCCCGGTCCAGCCTAGACGGACTTAGTGTGCAACACGCGCGAATATTGTAGCATTCTATGCACCGTTCTTTTAACGTCGAGCCCAATCAATGACGGTCATTAATATTAATAATTACTATATAGTTTGAAACAGACTGATCTAAACTCACTCTTGGATCACTTAAAGATCGAACGATAATTCTTATAACATGCACATTACCGAGATATTCTTCTGTTTGCATGTTAACGTCACATTTATCCAGGAATTGAAATTCCGACAAGAATCACTTCTGAACTAGTCAAATTTAATGATAATTCTATAATACGCACGTGCAATTTCAAAGTACGACAAGTTGATGTACAAAGTTATTTGAACTTTAAATAGTCTGAATCTATCAGTATTATTTGTCTATATTTCTTGAATGTGTTACGTGTAGACTATTTAAGCGAAATTACTTAAAATTTGTGTGACTTCTGTATGTATGTATACGAATGTATGTGTGCATGACGATCTGCGGGGCGGATGTGTTATGGTATTTCACGTAACTTGCCAAATATTGCTGTAACGAGTTATGAATATAGAAGAATATTGTATAATATAAATGTATTTTAAGCACTCCCACTGTATAAGGGAAACGTGCGACTTTCCGATTGTGAAACCCTGTGTTTTGTTGTGTTATTTCTTGGCCGGTATTACATATGTGCTCCCATGTTTTTGTTTTCCTTTAAAAGAGTTTATGAATAAAGTACCTTCTTCGTTCCTAGAATAACGTTTTTATTATTACTTTCATCTGACATGATAATTGCGAAATCCACTCGAAATTTTTAAACAAGGATTTTTCTCAGACTTGCAACTTGATAGTAATTGAACAGTTTTAATTCAATTATTAAATTGAGGTGTCAAAGTAGTTTTCGAGATCTTTACTCACGGCTTATCTTGCAAATTTTTAATTGTATACAACGTCGTATCATGCAAAGAGTAAATATTTAACGTCACATTGAGATTTATCGGACGACGATTTATTTTAGCAGGTATGGGCTCATGGCATGTTACCGGTGACCGAAGTAATGCGGGGGGTGTTGTGGGCTCCGTGGCAGCTCCTGGAACGGGAGATGAGGTTTTCCTCGCAGCTCAGGAGGCTGCACAGGCTCATCGCGACTCACAAGGTAGGCTCAGTGGCTTCATGTTTCATCTGCCTCCTGCCCCCCCCCGTAACAATAGACACTCGCATAATTTGCTCTTCTAAATCATTAGAATCCGAGTTATTTGCATCACTGATAAAATGCAAATTTTAAACAAATTTATGGCCATGTAGAATAGAAACGCTCGTACTCGCGTTTGAATGGGCTCGAGAATATGGAAAATTTTTAAGACAGAAATGATGATATCTCGTTATCTTTTTCTAATGTGACAAACCGACAATGGCTCATTCACAAGCGCGAGTACGTTGATAAAAGTTTCGATGACATGTTGACACGCGCGCGTAATTATACGTGCCTATTGCGCAGGCGGGGCGGAGCTTCTTTTTCTTTCGTTGTTGATAACGTGGTTCAACCTAGATTCCGGTGCGTTCAAGTGTAGCACGGTCTCTGAAAGAGCTTTTTTATTTTCTATCGGAGCATGTAGAGCTTTCTGTTAAGAATTCTTAAGTTCTTTCTGTTTGTCTTTTTATCTTTTTCCTTTCTTAACGTAGTGTCGCGACAAGTGAGACTTGACGTAAGACGAGCCGCACGTGCGTTTGCGCGCGCCTTTTTTCCCGCCGTACAGCAATCCGTTTTCCATAATTGGTTTCGCGATATTCGTTCTGCCGTCTCGTCTTCGTTAGCCTCGCAACGCGCGACTCTACGGCCTCTCTCTCCTCCGAAAGGAGTTACGACATCGCGAGGACAGCCCGCAGAGAGTTCACGAGACCTCAATATCTCGTGTCAAAAATCGCGCGTAAAAAATGTACAAAGAACGATTACAGTTAGTTATACTTTATCCGCGATGATAGTTACACGCGGTTTCATATAACAGTAGTTACAGTAAATTATAGATAGAAGTAACATCGCGGAATTTTCTAGTATTATTTTTACGTAAATAAAGTATATTCAACGTTGATGAAACAGCTATAGAAAGAGATAATCAAGATAGGTGGCGCTTACGAAAATCGAGAGATCATAGAATCTTTTACTATATTGTACCTTGTTGAACGAAGTCTAAAGCGTGGACTATCGATTATTTTTTAAGCTTATCGATTTTCTTTCAGATACAACGAGCCGTTTTTATTAACCAAGCACTGTGTTATTGATAATTAAAGTCAGTAATAATAATTAAAAATAGTTATAAACGGAATCGCGCATCATCGATAATTGGAAACGTGTAGGTGTAAAGATCAATGGGTATAAGGATTGAGTAGGATGTCTCTCTCGATAGTCTCTCTATCTTTGAAATCGGTTCGTTTCGTTCACGTTCATGAATTTTTCCACCAAGTTGAATAATGCATTGCGTGATAAATTTCAACGATTAGGAATTTCGACACGCGATTGTTTTTTATATGAAACGACGTGATATATGACATACTTGTTTTTATGCGGAAATACGTATGAAACATAACTCGCTATTTTATAGTCTGATTTCATTTGCGGAAGCAATTAAAGCTCAGCGATTAAATAACGAAGGAAATTTCGGAACGTATCCGGTTGTTCCCCTGTTGCTATGGGAAATTGAAGCTGGAGCAACGTGAGAACTTCTCGGTGGATAAGAATATAACGGGGCTTGCGCGATCGAGCGAGTATGAGCCAGCAATCTCGCCTTGGCTCTAATCGGCGTTACGTGCCTTTCATGAAATTTGATACTACTGTATATATTGTAGGTAACGTTGAGCACCTTCGACAATGATCATTTTACGCTGATTCTCGGCACAACTCGGAAGTAGTCGTTTCACAACCTATGCAGTTATTCGACTCTAGAGTGACATCACCCGAATTTCTAAGTGATTAGAAATTGCGTCGTTTTTCCTCGGTATATTCATCGGTTACACATTGCGTGTGAATTTTCAACCTGCGGAGAATATTGATGAGCTACTTTCAGCAAGATCGATGCTGATCGATGCTCTTTGGATTACGTAAATTTTTATCCCACTTGAGACTCTGTATCGATATAATTAAGCTATTTATTTCTTTCAATTTTTTATGCGTTATCATAATCGTCTATTATTAGATGACCTACTACTTTATGTATCACATTTAATTGCGTATTTAATTATGTATGCAAAACGGATTTAATTATTTGAAGACCGAGTGAATCTTGTAAATTAATTTTTTTCCAGACCTCTCGTAGCGGACACGAGAAATCTAGCTAATCATGTTTGTGTATAGGCATATATACTTAATGTCTGGTCGAGGCATTCCCACGAACGCTCACCTGACCTTGGGGCCACGTGAAACTTTGAACGAACGCGCGTGGTAGGGAAGATTTCTACCGAAAAAAGTAGAAGAGACGGCAAGAAGCGAACTTTCTGGCGACGAGAGATATGCGTACGTTCTTCTATCGCGGTGTCAATTACTTGCAAAAGGCGTCGTTTTGAAATTCACAGTCATAAAGAATAACGAAAAATCACTATCATTTCACGATAGATTTTACGTCAATTTGCAATAAAGTCAAGGTCAAGCGATTATATTATAGTTTTTCAGGAAAACTGGTAGAAACAGCTATATTACATATATTGCGTATATAATACGTAACATTTAACAGTTATGTTTATTTGAGCCAGCGAGTGAAAAATTGAGATTGTGAAGAGATAAATTCTCTGTTATTTAACGAGAATGCGTTAACGAAGATAACGCATTCTCGTTAAACAATAGAGAATTTATCTCTTCATAATCTCTAAATAACTAAATAAATTGAACTATCCGTCGTGGTTTACCGATGACCTAGATTTATCACGAATTCGCGTATAAGTGCATTGAATTGTTGTATCAAGGCGATTATGTATATTACGTAACAACAAACGGAAAGACTGCTGTACAGTTTCTCAGCAGTACGACAGGTAACGATAGTTTCACCAGTTTTACCATAACGAAGTTAATAACAAATTATATGACAAGTATCTAACTTTATTAGGCATACGTAATAAATGACATTTTTAATAGACTAATTTAACAAACATTCGTTTAAATAACAATTTCGGCCAATTCCTTTTCCGTTTGCTCGTTAAGAAGGTAATACGAAATTTTTGTCGGTTATTTCGGTTGGTTGGCAATGCAAGTTTCTTGCCGAGACGACGGAGACCAGCTTGCTTGCATCTGCTAATGTACGACGACAGCTGCACACTGAGCAGCAGCTGATGCAGCCGGATACCGGTCGCCCCAGATGGCTGAGCCGGAAATCGTCCGCCCGGCACGTCGTATCTTTCGTGATCGGGTGATCCCTTTACAAATCGAAATATAAAATTATCTCGTTTATACGCGATGCGATAACAATTCACTACATAGGGACAATAAAATTCAATTTCCCTTCAATTTTAGAGCAATCACGTTATTATGAAAGAAATGAAACATGAAGGGATAATCTTTGAAGGAGAGACATATTGAGAGAGAAGAATAGCGTAAAAAAAAATAAACGTTAATATATTTATTAAATTGATTAGTTTAGATGGAGGGATAGGAGGGTTTTTTACTTAGGCATTTAGATCGGTTTTTTTTCGTTAGCTTTTAAGGTACATGATCGCCCTAATGCGGTGATCCAACGTGGGAATCAAGGTAATTTCGGAGAGAGAGGAGCGGCCTCTCTGTCAATGCTAGCGTTGCTAAATCTCGAATTCGTACTCGCGATCGCGCGGTTCCTGACGTGTTACTCGATGACGGTGATTCTTTTCGCGATGTCCTTACGCGCCAGGTGCCCGTGGAATCGCGAGTTATCATTTGTTAAGCTCGTTACGGTAGACGAATATTGCGTTCTGCCTCTATTTTTTTTTTTCTTTTTTCGTATATGCTATGTCAGAGTGTGTCATGTGTTGTCGCGCGCGATACACTTTCAAGAGAAAAATTACATTGGACAGATGCTCGCATTGATAGCGAAGGTCGTTTTTTTTTTCAACGTCAGAGACTTGTTGCCTTGAATCTAGTTTTTCGTACCGTTCGAGGAAGAGGGGCTCACACTTAAAATCGCGCTTCAAGCCATCGCGAGAGACCCCATCCGGGGTCCTTCCTTTAGGTTCCTCTGCTCCACGGATAACGCGTCTCTCCATCTTTTTTTTTTTTAATTTTGGAATCTCAACATCAAAAGCTCTCTCACACATTTCGTTATCGCTTCTTGCATTCCGTATACCTTCACGCACGTTTGTTGGTCTAAGAGTTTTCGTTTGTTCCATGACGAGACGCCGAGTTCGCGATTCTAGGACCGGAGTTGCGCCACGTTGTTCGCAGCGCGTAGATCTCTCTTTTTTTATTATTTCTCTCGTGAATATTTTCTGTCGCGGAAACACGCGAAAGCGTTCCGGCGACGAGAGAAAGGGTAAAGATAAACGCGTTCACGCCTGTCCGAAGGAACGATCACCGAAGACTCGAGGTATCTTCGGCTGTTTCTTCTGGCAACAGTGGAATCTCTGCGTTTACCTCTGCCAATCCGGGACGAGAGTCACCCTCAGATCCCAGATAATAAAAAGCCCATTGTAGCCGTGACGTGTTTTTTTTGTTGGTGCGAGAAAGAACCCGGTATACATGTAACGAGGGCGCGGTGTGCTCGGAATCATGCACGGAAGTCGAATTGAGCAAGGAACAACTTGCCTGAGAATCGCGTGAGAGGACTTATTATGATCCTACATCCTATGTCCTCGTTTATCGCGGATTGGAACAACCGAGTGCGTCGATGTACGGCCAGTCGTGTGCGCGAACTCTTACAGTATAATTCTCTGCTCTCTATATCATTATCGTACAGGGTGATGTCTCGCGTTTTCCTCTTTCCTCTCTTTCCATTGTGCACGACGAAGAAGCGCAGGGAGCACGGACACCCTCGCTTTTCTGCCTGCCTCTTCCTCCTGCCCATGTACATCTTACTTGTCTTGCCTATCTCTTTTTTTTCTTCCTCTTCTCTTTCTCCTCGAAATTCGCGCTTCTCATACGGCTGGTCGTAAGTCGCGAAACCGGCTGGCCGAAAATCCGCCTCTCGCTCGCGATTCGATCGA